GACTACCGTTGTATGGCCCTTGCTCCACCACTCTCCAAATGTGCAAAATGAGAGTGAATCTTCCGCTACAAGATGGAAAGATACACCGCCATATTTTAGTCTTTTGTGCATGTGTAGAGCAGTGGAGCGAGGCTGTAACCGTTTCCAAAATAAGACAAAAACAAATAAGAAAAAAAAAGGAAAAGCAACGGCCTATAGGGCTGAACAAAATGTCCTCTGTCGAGAATCAATAGTGTCCGTTGACACAGGCGTTTTGTTCGGCCCGAGAGTGTCAGGGAAATGATGTCTTGGCACAACAGACAAACACGCCTGTATCAAGGGCACACACACACACACACACACATACACACACACACACACACACACACACACACACACACACACACACACACACACACACACACAACACACACACAAGAAAAAAAAAAAGAAAAAAGTAAGGCACATCCGCAGATGCGCGGGCATGGGGGTCCCTCGGCCGCACTACAGCGCACTGCCAGTGCGCGCTACGTGCGCACCGCGCGGTGCGCACGTGCGCACACATCACCCGTGAGCGCATGACGCACGACGCAGCGCAGCGCACGGCGCACCGGTTAAGTGCGCCGCAAGTATGCCCTAGTGTCATCCATTGCATGCCTTCAGCTAGGCATATCTCCACCCTACTTCAGACTTCTCTTTCATGGTCGACCCTACATGGTGTCACCCTTTTGTTGAGCATGACCCGCCTTGATGGTCTATCTATTAGTGTCATTGGTTTTGTTTCGCTACCATTTCCTCGCCCCCACCCTGATGACCTATCCCATCTTCGTGTGTGACTTCCCTTAGGAGTTTCAATTCTTATCCCCCTCCGAGACCATCCCACTCTTAGTGGTTCAGCGACACAACATTATCTTGTGACACATTGCTATCGTTTCCATTCAGCACTGAGGCAATTGCCTCTAGGACTTTAGAATTGTACCCTGCTACATTTCATTTCTTGTTGTTAGCTAGGATGTGTATATCAGACATTTGCTTTTGCTATGACATTATGTAGCTTAGGCTGCATCGCATGGACTCCGCATGGAGCTTGCTTCGCATCCTAGATTTCTTAGCTTTATTGTTGCAGGGTTCCACTGCTTTTGCGGCAGCATGTTTATGGCTCTCGCAATCCACTACAGGTCTCATGATTGTCCAACGTCCCTCTAGCTGCCCTGGCCTAGCTATCTTGCTATTTTGCCTGTTCAGCCTGTGGGACCAGGTCGTGGCCTGACCCCACAGGCTGTGTGCTCATTCAGTCCAGTCCAATCCTGCTCGGTATCACTGTCGGTACCAGGCCAGGCCAGTCCAGTCCAATCAGTCCGCTGGGGGTATACCCCAATTGCAGTCTGTTTTCAGCCTCATTCTTCATTTGCAGAGTTTGGAGTGCGTGCATGTTGAGTCTGCGTTGGAGCTGCGCTGTCCCTTCCAGCTCCATCTCCATCTGCCCCGTCCTCATCCCTTTGTCTTGATCCTGACGGACCGCCATCCAGCTGGGTCCGTCACACTGCGCCTCCGTTAAGTGCCTCCACTAGCTTCGAGACATTCAGACAAGGACGCAGGTGTGCCACAGCCTTCAAACCCCGGTCAGCTTTTTTGCACACAATATGCACATACAATGCACGGAAGGGGGGCAGTTTTGCTGGGGGGGGAGGGTGGCGGAGCACAAGAGGAGAAATGCGGGCACTTTGACTGTACGGCATCGGAAAAATTTGTCTATATGGGCAAGAGGACAGGGGTGGAAGGACCACTGCAGCGACAACAAACAGGAAGACCCAACATCGGACCGGTAAGGACTGACGCGCTAGCGCCGAACCGGTAAGCGCCTTTTCCAGCGCTAAACTTCGCGTTCGCGCCACGACGAATTTTGGCCGCGCGCACACATCATCACTCTACGAATTCGAAGTACGAAGGCGGGAAGCTTGGAAGAGGGACTTCACCACACCTGGCCACGCCCTCGGGCGTGGCTACCCACAATCCAGTAAGAGACAGGAGGAGACGGGAAGGGAAGGAGGAGGAATAGGGAGAAAGGAAGGAGCACAGAGGATACAAGGACAACAGGAAAGTGGGGTGCAGTAAGTCTGGGAAAAGACAACAGCGGCGAGAGGGATTGGGAAGTAACCCAAGCAATTTTTCCCGAACGTCAGGGGAGTAGAACAAGGAAGAAAGGAGAGGGAGACATAACTAAGAATAGGAAAGGACAGAGAAGAGGGAGGAGAACGACAAGGAAAGGAGAGAATAGTCACACAAGAAAGGGACAAGAGCGTCCACAAAGAAGAACAGGGGGAGGGAGAAGAGGAGGGTGAAAAAAGAAGAGTTCAAATAGCAGAAAACATACCGCGCCCCAGAAAGAGGAAAGGACAAAGGAAAGAGACGAGGGCAAAGCCTACCTATTATAGGAGAAAGGCAAGCAGAAACAGGACGCGCAAAGAATCATCACGAGCGGACGAGGACAGCGCCGCACAGGACGTTTCCCCATCATCTCGGGCAGCAAGGTTCGAGCAGACCAACCCCGGTCTCCAAGGTAAGAGCGAAATATTTCATCAACCCCCACGAGCAGAGGAGTCAACAGGAGGAAGATGTCAAGATAGCGTTTGGGCAAGCACTCATGAGGAGGGGAACGACAGTCTTTCGAAACATCAGAGCAAGGGAACAAAGGCGACTGCATTACTACTTCTGGATAGCCCTTAATTAGGAAAAGTAGAAAGGACACAAGCGATCGCAAATAGTGGTAGTAACTCCTTCCTGAATCACGGTTGGATCAGAACGGAGCAGCAGCATAGGCACTTGAAAGGAAGCTAGGAGTTGCTTTCCACCAATCCGATCCATCTGACTGAAACCCCATTGCCCGCCCCCACTCGTATTCAAGCGGACGAAAGTAGCGAACCCTAGCGTCAGGAAACTCTCGCCCAAGATAGAGGAAACAAACAGATTGCCCGCCGTCTATCACCTATCCCTACACATCCCCACCAACCTACCCCAACCCCCTCGTCACATTCTCGCCATCCCACGAGCACTTACGTACCGCATACCGGCCATCCCTCACCCGCGCTTTCTCCTTTCGCCATCCCATCACTAGCCAGTGTAGCTCGAGAACACCGACAGGAACGCCCAAGTATAGGCGATCAATTACTCTTATTTAAGTATCTATTGTTTTAAGCATTATTCAATTATTTGCTAATCATTCCATTATTATTACATTAAAGCGTAAGAGGTACGAATTATTTATTTATTTATATATTTATCCTTACTATTATTATTTATCTCCTAACACCCTGATCTTGCCCCAACTAACCTGTTGAACCTCCAGGCGAACATAATCCCCCCCATAGAACACATCGACCCACTAGGCGCCCTAACCTACCAGGGACAGGGCACATTGGAATGAATCTCTACCCCCCCCGGGAGCCATCCTGTCCACCCCATAGCCCTCAGAACCCTGTCCCAACCACGCTGTCTCCCTTCTCCCACCACCCAACCCCGCAAGGCCATTCCCACTAATTTACAAAGCTACTTAATTTACTCCCGTCCACACAGCATCAACATTAGCCATTGGAATCCCTTCTTCGTTCCCGAGAGGAAAGCAGCGGACAAATCAACAAATCACCAAGGGGGGAAGATACTCCCCGCCCAAGCACTAACGCGTCCACAACCAAATAAAACCGGTTAACAATGGCCGACTCCTACTGTAACACAGCACGCAGAGGAATGGAAAAGAAGGACAAACCATCACCGGATCCGCCACCAAGACTGTCTCCCACGACCTCCCAAAGCTCAACCTCCCCTTCTCAAACCCCATCCGAAGGAATTCAAATTCCCAATGCTGCACCGAGAGCCCTGGGGCAGAGGGCTATCGAGTTTTTGATGAACAAGACAAAAATCAAAGCTGAAATTATCAAAACAAAAGAAATCATCAAAAACAACGCAGGCGAGGAGGTAGAAGTCGAAATTTGGGAGTACCCGAAGGAACAACTGCAGTCCCTCCACGAACTGTACGAGAAGCATGCAGTACTCTTCAACTTCACGAACAAAAACAGGGATCTACCGTTGAATGAGAAGAGGAAGTGGGTCATGGATCGTCTAAAAGAATTGGAAAGCATTCTCGGATCGGAACCGGAGGTTTCATATCACAAGAGAGGGAGGTACACGGTAATGGTTCTGTGTGTCGACCCTGCGTACGCCCAATTTTTAGTTTCCCTGAGAGCGCTGAAATGCAAAGGATCGGTGGTCACGATCCAGTCATGGAAACCGCCCAGGGAACCCCAAGCGGAAACATCTAGGCATCGTCAGACGATGCTCAGAAACCATTTTTGGGTGCAATTTGACAACTTGTCTGAAGGCCTACACAACTTCGTGCAGAAGAGACTCCAGGAAGAGTACCCCAGCAACCCAATCATTGATTGGCTGCCAGCAAACCCGGAGTTCATGGCCCCGAATCATGATGCGAGAGTGGCTTGCTTGGAAGTCTCTTCAGGCACATCCCCCAAATTTCCAGATGTTTGGATCTTCCAGAAAAATGGACAAAAACTAAACGTGTTCATTTCTACGAAAACAAATCCCTTCTGTTTCAAATGCAGAAACAGGGGTCATCTGGGTATGCACTGCCCCCTCGCTGGGGAAACAGGAAGAAAAATCACACTCAAGCAATCAATGTTGGTAGAATGTGATGCAAAGCCGGGGGTGTGGTATATCAACGAGGCACAGTACAGAGGCTGGGTCTTTGACGACAACCTGGAGAATCCCAAATGGGTGTGGGTGCTCCAGGGGGAGCCCAAGCTCAAACCTGACATCTACCCGCCGTACGACAGTAGATGGAGGGCAGTAGGCGCTAAGAGAATGGAGGACAAAACCACAGGCTACCTAAAACAGGAAGTAATCGGAGAAGCGAGCCTGTTGGACGAGAAACAAAGACTGGAAACGATGAATGAGCTGCACTCAATTGGACAGAACGCAGAAAGGGCATACATTGAGAACCAGCGAGCCAGATCTGCTCCAGAAAAAACCCAACACTCAGCCTGCTCAACACCGAAGTCCTCCTCCTCTAGTGGGAGGACGCGAACAGCGTGCAAATGGACAGGTCCCTGAAACGGAAATCAGGGGAAGCTGTAAGCGCTTCTTCCCCTGCACCCTCAATCAAGGGGAGACAAAGATCAGTCGGGCTGGCCAACGCGCTATCAACAGACAAGGAAACGGGGGATAGCAAGCAATGCGGAACAGGGATGGAAGAGGATACCTCCCAAGGGTCAGGGAAGGATGTAGATATGGAAGGATCACATCTTTCTCCTCAACCAACTGGCTCCAGCAGGAATCAGATCTCAGAAGCAAGTCGGGACAGAAAGAGGACCAGATCAGAGAGCAGTGAGAACCAGGATACGGAGGAAGAGGATGCAGATGGAGACCCTGACGATGATTCTATGAAAGACTCAGAGGAGGAGAGCCCAGAAGAAGGGGACGACGACATGGGGGATGAAGAGGATGAACAGGGGCAAGACATGGACTCGCTCGATTACGTACAACAGTATGTCCGCTCCTTAGAATTGGACAGAACAGTAGAACTAGAGGTGAGGCTCGCGCACCACAAGCACCTTCGCAATCTCAGGTCAGCAACCAAAGCCGAAGACAGCATAAACATGGAAAACAGATTCGAGATCCTCGGGAAGGAAAGAGAGCTCAATGAATTTTATGCCGAGCAATACARCATGAAGAYAAGAATTGAGAAGAACAGAATCACAGTGGATWCAAAAAGTTACGAACAAAAGTTCACCTGGCCCAAATCGTACGCTGAACCCCAAGCAGAACGGAGAGCGAAGAGAAACAAGAAAGATAATAAACAAGGGTCCACAGGGGAACCTCTCCACGATACCTCCTCTTCAATAGCAGAGGATGAGTCCATAGAGGACCTCAGAAGACACGCTGCAATCCTGGAAGCTCAGGTAAACGTACTGAGGGATCAGAACAGGGAGCTGGATGATCAATGCATAACCCTCAAGGACGTAGCAGGGGGAGGCCACAAGGAAATAGAAGCAGCAGCCAGACTCGAYGCTCGCAGCAGTTYTAGGCGAAGGASGATAATCCCGTACCGCTGGAACCGCAGCTTTGAGYCCTGGSAAGTTGCCTATCACAGATCCAACTCGCTGATCTCAGTACCAGACCAGGACTGTACACAAAACACCTTACGGGAGCTCATATYAGACAGCATACCAGCAGAACTAAAGATCTTGGGGTCCAAAACAGAGGGTATAGAAGAATGGAGGGATCAGGAGAACGAAGTGCAAGCGGTGGACCTGCGACCATTATTGGTGGAATTGGACGAGCCGGCTAGTCTCAAGGGGGATCTGTGTTGGGTTCCATGGCTAGCGGTAGAATCTATGTCATACGGCTTACTAGGGGGAGAAGTAGTAGCGGAGAGGGCTGCCTTGAGCAGCACCCTAATTACAGCACACGGCCTGTTCACGCTGTCCCCCATGCAGCTCAGGCAAAAGCTGCAACGATCGGCCACAACTAGGAGGGTGATAGCAACCACTGGCTCCTAGACAACACCCTACCACATGGCTCAGGAAGGGTAGAACAATGCCTCAATGATGGCGGACCAGGGAGGGGAGAGATTAAGGCCCCGGCTTCGCAGAAAATTCGGCCTTCGCAAGCCTGAGCCAGACCTTACAATCATGTCATGGAATGTTAATGGAATGTCCTCCATACTTACCAACCAGAAGAAATGGGATTACCTAATCAAGGGCACGGACTGGTTCGGGCGGACCCCACCCGACCTGCTATGCATCCAGGAGACACACCTAACCGACTCAGAGGAACATCGAAGAACCCAAACACACATAATAAGAAAACTGAAGTGGATCAAAGAAGCAATCTGGGCCCCGTCCCCCCGCCCCAATTCAGCAGGCGTAGCTATCTTAGTACACGCTAAATCTAGAGCATCGAACACGGTGGTTAGGACCATATCAAGCATAGATACAGAAGAAGGTAGATGGGTCAGCATTGACTTTCAAGTGCACGAAGAAAAGTTCAGGTTACTAACAGTCTATGCCCCAAATACCCTGAACGAAAGAACCAGACTAATTGCAGACCTCCTACCGAGGTGTGATTCCAACACTCAACTGGTACTGGCAGGGGACTGGAATGCGGCATTGGACCCAACCAGGGACCGCKTTTCAGGAGCGGCAACAGGGACGACACAGGCCACGTGGAACGAAGCCCTGCCCATTCACGAGTTGATGACGGAGAAAGATCTTGTAGACCCATTCAGAGTCCTGCACCCAGATAGCAAAGAATACACGTACCTAAAAAGGAATAGAAGTCAGCACATCTTAGCATCCAAAATAGATTATTTTTTGGTATCAGGAGCACTCATAGGAGCAATCCATAACACAGAAATAGGAGAACTTCCTCGCTACGCAGGCCTTGACCACAAACCAATCAGACTGCACCTTAACCTAGGGACTGCCCCCAACTGAGGGCGAAGCTTCTTCAAAATCAACAACTCTCTGTTAAATACGCAGGAAATAAGGGATGCAGTTCTGTCCTCATGCATTAACCATGACTACACTAACCAGGATTTCTCGGATTTGGTCATGGCACTGGCGAAATCCACAGCGAGGGCCTCCAGAATAATCGCCTCTAAAAGGAAAGCAAGGGAGGAAGAACTACAACAGGCAATAAGGGTAGCAGAAAGGAATCTCCTAAGGGACCCAGGGAACAGTTTGTACGAAAGAGTTTTTGAACAAACCAGGCAGGAGATGTCTGATTGGGAAGAATGGAGAAACAAAGGCCTGAGGATGAGAGCCCGAATGAAGGAATGGGAAGAAGGCGAGAAAATGACCAAATACTTCTTTAACAGAATCAAGGTAAACGCAAGGAACGCAACCATAGAAAAGCTGCAAACAGAACAAGGACTGACATCAAACCCACAGCAGATGCTAGCAGCAGCAGCGGCCTTCTTCCAAAACCTCTACTCATCGAAGGAACAAAACTACTCGCACCACGAAACCTCACGTGCAAGAGCCAAATTCCTGACCCATTTAGATAAGACCATCTCAACAGAACAGGCGACGACTTTGGACAGCCCGATCTCGGAACAAGAGGTCTATGAGGCACTGCATTCAGTGAAACCAAACAAGACCCCTGAACTGGATGGTCTATCGAAGGAATTCTGGGTCTCCTTCTGGCCAGCTCTGGGCATACCTCCAATTCCTAGAGAAGGCATGGAATAGAGGCACACTTGGGGAACTCCAAAGCACTGGAGTAGTCTCCCTGCTCTACAAGAAAGGCGACCCAACAGATATCAGAAACTACAGACCAATCTCCCTGCTCTCAGTAACATATAAAATCCTAGCCAAATTGCTAGCCAACAAAATCAGAACAATCACTAGGAACTACTTCCACAACGACCAGACAGGTTTTATCCCAGGAAGATTCATTATGGATAACGTAATGACCCTCAACGAATCGGTCAGATATATTCAGGACAAAAAAATGAATGCAGCCATACTTTTCTTCGACTTCGAAACTATGTATGACCAGGTCAATTGGAACTTCTTACAGCAATGGATGGAAAAAATGGGGTTAAGCCCGAATTTTAGAAAATGGGTCCAAGTCCTATACTCGGAAGCCCACGGGCGAGTACAGGTAAAGGGCCATCTATCACAACCATACCGAATGTCCCGCTCGGTAAGACAGGGAGACCCACTAGCAGCCTCAATCTTTCTCTTCATCATGGAGGCGATTGCCTCCTTTCTAAGAAAAGATCCTTTGATTGAAAGACTGGTCGACGACGGGCAACATCCGATCAACATACCCACTACCATCCTCTTTGCGGACGACTTGACAGTCTTAATACGAGCCTCAGACTCTTCCTTTTAAGCTCTCACTAAAGCCATGCAAGCTTTCCAAATCGCATCAGAAATGAAAATCAACTGGCCCAAAACTGTCAAGTCGTCCCAATGGGCTGGTGGCTAACAGACCCTCAAACTGACCGTCCCCAACGTACTCCACTAGGAATGAACTGGTCACGGGGCATCGAACCCCTCAGATTCCTAGGAATTCAAGTCTCCAAACATGGCTCCAACCAAACAATGGCCCCAGCCATAATGAATAAGATGATCACCAAATTGGGCAGSTGGTCCAATGTCTACACCTCARTATTYGRCAGAGCYCTGATCCTAAAYGCATCAATCTTTGCARTGATGTGGTACGCWGCCACAATTTGGAGCCCTCCTAAACAYCGAARARCACAACTCAGAAGAAGGGCAGCCGCCTATTTATGGACCGGGGATCCATCTAGAGTCAACTTCATYTCCAAAGTGGCGTGGAAGTACGTCACTCTGAAGAAATCGCAAGGGGGACTGGGAATCCTGGACCCGGAATCTCAAATCAAAGCCCTACAAACCAAGTGGATTATCAAAATGATAACTAATAACAACCTACCCTGGAGCAAGCTAGGCCTCCACATAATAAAGCAAATAGCTAAATACAAAACCCCGGACAACATGCATGGCCTCTTCTGGCTCATGCATAAATCCTGGGCGATGAAGGGTGGGGTGCAAGCAGAACACCAGGGGAACCAGGAAGAGGAACAAGGAGAGGACTTTTGGAGGCAACTATTGAAAACGTGGAAGGAAATCCTACCAGCCAAAGTGAGGGAACCAACAACCAAAGAGGAAGTCCTCAGGCAACCGATCTTCTGTAACCAAGCCTTGTTAGACCCACAAGGGAAACCATGGACCCTAACCATAAAGGACACAAAATGGGGAGCCTGGTTAGAAAAGGGAGTGTGGCAGGTGAAGCACCTTTGGCATGAGGAGGACAAGAGATGGAAAACGGTAGGAGAGCTAAGGGAAATTTTGAGGGGCTGCCACAATTTACAAGCAAACCTGAACAATATCTTAATATCAATACCACAAAGCTGGTATGACCTACTGAAGGGCGGTGGAGAATGGAGAACAGGAGACTGGGCAACACGATTAAGAGAAAACATCCCCAATACCGCCTACCAGTTCCGATCAAGAGAGGGACCAGGAAACGCATGGTTAGTATGCGACATGCACGCGATCGAAGAACCAGGATCAACCACGTGTCTCTTAGGTCGCAACGCCTTGGGAGAAATCGCTATCCCAGAACAAGTAATGAGGAAAGTAAGAGTGGTGGAAACTGAACAACGACGTATATATGAACCACTCGTAACCATCGCCGACCTGGAAGTCAACCCAGCGGAATGGGCTTGGAAGAGGAAGTCAGGCAGACTAGGAGTGGAGAAACGCAACAACATTCTAGAATACTCTACTAAGCTGGGATATGCCCTAAGAATGAGATCAGTTTCAGTAACTCAAATTATCAACCAAAGATGGGAAACCCAACTTAATCTGCCACCAAATCAAGCCCTCATCAAGTCATGGGGCAAACTACTCACCATCACATCTACCAGAATAAGAAGCTTCCAATGGCTACTCGCCCATCGGGCTCTCCCAGTTAACAAATGGCTGAACAAGAGAAGGACCGCACAGYTGAGATCCCCGATGCAGGAGCAATGCGCCATTTGTCCGGAGGGACTGTCAGAAGACATAGAACATTGTCTGCTAGACTGTCAGAAAGCCAAACAACTCTGGACACTCGCCTCCCGACTTTGRCAAGTGGTCACGGATAAAACAATGCCATCGGATCAGGTCGCTCTCTTACTTGGCCTACACACTCACAGCTCATGGCAAGGATTCAAAGTTTCCTTCTTCCACGTTCTAAGACTAGCGACCTTATGGATGATTTGGAAGYGCAGATGCCAGGAAACGATTGACCGCTCAACCATGACACCACAAGAAACTTGGGATGGAGTTCTRCACCTAATCGAGGTGGAATATAGAGGACGGTGGAGGAGAACCTGCAGGAAAATAGAAGAGAATATCATAAACAAGGACAAAATAATAGAAACCTTCGTAAAGCACCAGTTAGGCAAAGGTAGAATAGCTAGAATAGATCAGGATAAACTGTACTTCGCCCAATGGCGACTCACCCAACCAAGATCACAAGGGATAGAAGCCACTAGAAGCAGGACTCACCTTACGAATATCTCAATAGGAGTGAGTTAGAAAGCAAAGCGCCAGCATAGATTCCCATAAAAGATACGAACTGACAGAAGGCACCACACCGTCAACCAGTAGAAAAAATCAAGGGCACAGCACTAAGCTGAACAGGCATAAAGAACCCAGACGATAGTTGTAAGGTTTAAGGGTTTAGGATCTAGGAAACACGCGCAAAGGATCCTTAAAACCCCCAGAGAAAGGAGCACGGAGAGGACAAGACCAAGTAGGGAGACTAAG